GCATCTTAAATTCTTCTCCCTCCCTTCTTCTTTTGGCTTTGGGAAAAGCATCATTTTACACCATTTTACCAGATGTACTGAGAACTAAAACTTCCAAGAATGATGTTAGGAAAATGTGATTTAACTAGGACTTGCTGTTTGATATTAGCAATCATGGAATGTTCTGAAACTTGGAGGTTTACTGAGAAGTGCTGAGGACAGTGTTGAAGCCTACTTGTTTTCTTAGATGGAAACAGAGACATTATGCCCTCTTGCTTCGGTAAACCACTCCAGAATGGCCGCCACGTTTCCCAGAGTTCTATGGTCTTCTTCCCAGGAGTTTTTAATTGTAAATGCAAACTTGGGAAGGTCTTAGACTTTTAAACTGTTTTTTGCTTTTGCTTTTCTCTGACTCCCTTTGCTTGGAGTCAGCTGCACACCAGTAGTATGGCATGCTACGAACGGTTTCTGTCCTGAAAACTTTGCCTCTTTCTTGGCAAAGATTCTGGTATGGTCAAGCTTGTAAATAACTTTTTTTACATTTTAATCTTTTCCATTGATTAAGAAGTGCAGTGTAAGAAAACCCAGCAGTTTAATTACTTGCAAATTAAGTTACCACAGACTCTGTAGTGTGTAAATGTTGACGAAGAATTGGATTACAATCATGTAGCAGAACAGCACCCAGACTGCTGCCCGCTAATGACGGACGCCCGCACACCCGCGTGGAGGATCCTGCTTCCCAGCCCTGGAGCCAGCATCTGAACCTTGTGTAATTAGCTTTCAGTTATGATTTCCCATCTCCATTTTCTTTGCTCTGTTTGTAGCAGAATTTTGTGTTTTATAATCCTCTGTTAAAGCAGAAGGATGATTATGAGTGGGTCACAGCGGCCCTTAAAAAAGCTGGGCCAGAAAATTTCACTAGGTCAGTAATTTAAACTTTGGATCTTAAAAAAATAAAATTAAAAAGTAATAATGTGAAATAAAACCAACTAAAAAGTGATTCTTGCACATGAACTGTCACATGTTTAAAATGTGTTTTTTAGAACGCCTCCATTTTGCTGATTTCAAACACTTTTCTTCTGTGTATTGCTTTTTAAGAGAGCCATCAGTTAGCTATCAGACTCTAGGTTGATGCATTTTGTACTTAGCTGTACTGTGTGATATTTTTCATTATTTTAGGACGCCAACATGAGACTTGTAATAAAATATGTAATGGGTTGAAAACTGGGAGGAGAATCTACTGCTGTACAGCTAATAAATCATAACGGATTAACAAGTGCTCCAAACAGTCCATCTCGTGTGGTTCATGGCTTGTTGCGGGTGGTGAGTCTTCCCAGAAGAGCCAGGTGGAGTTGTCAGGCCGCCTGGCCCCTCAAAAGCAGGCTGTGTTCCCAGAGATGCCACTTCCTCTCTAGCAGATGGGAGGAGGCGATCTTGGCAGACGACGAGATGTTAAATGCATCCTGTTGCAAGTTAAACTCCCTGAAAGTATAGTAGAGAGGCGAGTGGGTGGACAGCGTCCACCTAGGCACTTGAAAACAGTGGGTGGGGACTCACTGTATTGTCCAGACATGTCTCCCAGGAAAACAGGAGTGAACCCCAGGGCCTCTGGGGCCTTGCCAGTCTCAGACTCCTCCTAGCCAGGCAGTACCTTGGACTGAGAGAGACCTCAGCTGTCCCCACAGAGCTCAGAGCTTCTGTTCCATCCATGGCCTGGCTGGCCCCCACCCCCAGGCCATTGCAGTTATTTCACCGCACACATGACTTTTTAAATTCTAAGTTTTTATTTACAGTAGAAAATCTCTTGCAGAGCTATGAGGCATTTCTCTTCAACATTGAATGTTCAGAAAGGGATTTGTTTTGATTGGAGAAGAGGCACGAAAAGTGCTATTAAAGCTGAAAGGTTACCCTATTGCATAGCCCATGACGACGGCTGGATGGCACCTAACAATTGTTGCCAGTTCTCAGGAGTGAGTACCTTGCTGGGGAATACATAGGTAACATTTGCCTTTTTAGCACTTCAGCTACAATTCAGTGACAATTACGTTCATCTTGTTATATGCCATTTAGTCAACTATGACTCCTAGCGACTCTCTACCCAGTGCAGTCCTCAGACTCGGACATCCCGAGCCAGCTCCACAATCTCCAGTGTACTCAACGCCCATTGTGACAGTCACCATGTCAGTGCCATCTTTCCGCTCTTCCTTTATTGTCCCTCTACCTTTCCAAGCATGACGTCCTTCAAGGACTGTTTCTATGTACCATGGAGTTGGATCCAACTCCTTGCTGACCCTCCAGTGGGTTTTGTAGAGGAAACAAATTGTAAGGGAGGAAATTGCTCATCTTCACGGAGCAACTGGTGGATTCGAGTCTCATGCTTTCAGATGGGTAGTTAAGGTCCTTACCACTAGGCCACCAGACCAGCTTCAAGAACGTGTTCTTGGGTGCCATCAAGTACAACTCATGGTGACCCTGTGAACAACATACCTGAACCCTGCTCCATGCTGGGCCACCATCAGCATCTTCGACACACTTAATTGCTGCAGTTTGTGTCAGCCTATCTCATTGGGGTCTTCTCACCTCCAAGTATGATGCCGCTCTCCAGGGAACAGACTTTCCAAAAAGCATGCCCAAAGTATGTCAGATGAAGCTTTGCCTGTTCTCTTGACAGTGGATTGTTCAGGGCTCCAACACCATAGCTCAAAGGCATCAATAATTCTATCATCTTTATTCATTGTCTAGCTGTCTGATGTGTAGCAGGTGATTGAGTCAAGGGCTGGCTCCTCATAATTCCCCAGTTTTCTGTTACCCTTAAAGGGATCTGTCCTTTGAAACCATCTGAGGTGAGCCCTGCACAGAGATGCTGCCTGGGCCTTCCTGCTGGCAGGGCCCAGCCCCATCCTGTGTGCTGAGATGGCAGCCTTTTTCTTCTTCCTCGTGAGCTTGTAATGTTTCCTATGCACCCACGGAGTGCTGTGCTGTCCAGAACACGTGTGTGAACAACCGGAAGGCCTCTGAGTCACTGACGCCTGCAGGAGCTGAGTCCATGTGTTCGCTTGGGCTCTGATAGCAGTTACATTTGTTCTATCACTACTGTGCTGACCACCGGCAGTTAGAGATTTGTGGCCAACTCCGCAATCCTGGCCTGATTTCAACTCCTGCCTCCCTCCTGAGTGCTAGAGCACTCCCTCTACTGGCCAGAGCCAGTGTTGCGGCTGGCTCACACCTGGGAACCCTTTAGCAGTCTCTTGATGGTTTTCTTATCTGTGATTCGAAAGAGAAAAGCCCCTGAGAGATGGACTACTCCTCTGTTTTGGAGTCTCAGGATTGCCATGGTAGACTAGGCCAAAGTGGTTATTCATCAAGTGCCAGGCATTGTTGTGAGCATTTCTGTTGTGTTTAGTCCTTAGAACAACACTTGGAAATATTAACTCTTACAGACAAGGAACTCAATGACCAGAGAGGCTAAACATCTCGGTCAGGTCAACAGCTGTTAAGAGATGGCAGCAGGATTTAAACTCAGAATACCTTTAAATTCTGTATTCATGGCCACTTTGACATATTGTAAATTGGATGCAAGTTCTCACCTTAAAAACATGAGGCAGCCATATCCCTTAATTCTAATTCCTTTTAAACAGCTCACAGCATCTTCACCTGAATCTTCTCACTGGTCAGCCCTTAGCTATCACACCATTCTCCTGTGGCTTGGAGGACTCTTGCTACTGTTTAGTTTTCCCTTTGTCTCAGGCTTCGAAGAATTTTACCAAGTGAGAGACGAGATTTGGGCCAGGGGGCAGGAAGTAATGTGGAGGTCAACTAACCATCTGATCCTTTTGCTCTGAGGTTCCAAGCCCCATTGCAGAAAAGGCTAACTTGAAATGGAGAAGAAATCAAAGACCCACTGCCCTGTACCTCTGCCCTTCCCTGGGTAATGCCTGTCTATGGGAAAGAGAGAAAGCTGTAGGGTATGATTAGATTGTAAGAGAGGGTGGGGGGAAAATGTGTCCCTTCTGAAATCTCTCCAGATTCTAGGTCTCTGACCCTTTATAGGGTGACTGACAGAGTCTGAGTGGTGTACATGATTAGGCAAGTAGGTGAATATGTTAGCAGTTCAAATCCATCCAGTGTCACCTAAACAAAAAGATGGCTTTCTACTCTAACAGGTCATAGCCATTAATACACTATGGAGTATAGTTCATCTCTGAGACATAAGGGGTCACGAAAGATCTACTCCAAGGTGATGGTTTTATGCTGGTAGTTGATCCCTCAGCCCATGGCCTTCTGACCCCTCGCTGTCCTGGAGACCTTTGTTGACCTCTCTACCGACAGGACCTTCTCTCTCAAACTCACCATCTCTCCAGGCACCTAGATTTCGCTCAGTAGTCAGCCTCTGAACCAACTTGGACTGCAGGTCTTAACCCCAGGTTGCCCCCTTCAAGGTCCCTGCTACACAAAGCTGAGGCCCCTCTGCTGCATATAATAATAGCCCATCCCCGCACTTCCAGAAGTTTATGAATCCTTAGCGAGGATATAGATACCAGGTTAGGAACAAGGGATTCATATTCCGAGTAGAGTGCTCAAACCCCTTACAGGCGCGCACCCTGGTTCCTCGCCCCAAGCCTGGCTCTCCAGGATCCCCGGGCGGGCAGCGCCCCCTGCTGCTCACGGCGGGAACTGCGCCATGGGGTGAAGGTAGGGGGCTAGGCACACGAGTGGCGCGCGGCGTGCGACCTCCTCTGCCGAGCGCCGTCCCCGCACCACGCTGTCCTCGTGAGGCGCTTCTGCGGCGGGGCCGGCGGGCGGGCGGGCGCTGGGTCTCTGCCCTCCTCCCACACTCCGGCCCCGCGGGGTGGAGTCGTGTCGGGGCAGCCTGGCAGGAAGCCGCGCGCACTTTCCGCTGCCGCCTGAGCAGGTGGGTGCAGAGCGGGCCTGGCCCGGCTTCCTGTGTGCGCGCCCTCCGCCACCAACACCTTTCCTGCCTGAGCTCTCGTAGGGGCCTCCCGGCCACCCTGGCCGGGCCCATGGCCCAGACCCCCGACGGCATATCCTGTGAGCTTCGAGGTGAGTGCTGGCCCTTCCCGACTACATGACTGGGAGCACGCAGCCCCCAAAGCAGGGCCTACAAGCCGCACCCCGTCTAGAGGGCTTGGGTCCCCAGATCCCCTCCACGCCTTCCTCACAGGCCTACAGAGGATTCCCAGGCCCTAGCTTGGTACACACCTGGCCACAAATTGGCCCCCAAGGAAGGACCAAAGTCATCCAGCGGGATGCCTTTCCACAGGCGAGATCACTAGGTTCCTGTGGCCGAAAGAGGTGGAGCTGTTGCTGAAAGCCTGGCTGCCTGAGCGCCAGGGCGCCGAGCAAAGCCATGTCCTGGTATGTGGCAGGCGGGGGCCAGAGCCTTCCGGGGAGGAGGCTGAGGCCCAGGTGGGAAGGGTCCCATGCCCTTTGTGCCGGTGCCAGGGGTGGCAAACCCTGTCTTCCCACAGGCGCTGCTACGTTGGAGAGCCTTCCTGCTCCACACCTGCCCGCCCCTGAGGGTGAGTCCCAGAGCCCACCAGCCAGGCTCCTGTCTACAGCAGCAGCCTGTCTACAGCAGCAGCCTCTGTAGGAGCTGTCTGGGGAGGGTTATGTATCTTGTCCTCCCAGCCCCTGAGTTTCCAACCACACTGGACTCCCAGTTGTCCCGCGTCCAGGCTCCCATGGAGTGGGACTGGGTCTGGATCCCAGCTGACCTAGATGCTCCCTAGGTGGACTGCACATTCAGCTACCTGGAGGTCCAGGCCATGGCGCTACAAGAGACACCTCCCCAGGTGAGGCACAGGACCCCACCTGGGCCTGCAACCTGGAATTTCCCCACACCCCTCCCCACCCACACCAACGCTTGGAGCCCAGGTCCAGAAGCCCTTCCTCCTCAGGTCACTTTTGAGCTGGAGTCCCTGCCTGAGCTGGTCCTGGAGTTTCCTGGGATGGCCGCCCTGCAGCAGCTGGCCCAGCACATCACTGTGGCCATCAAGAAGGTCTTTCCTCGCTCAGCCCTTCGGTGAGGCCCAGCAGTTTCAAAGGGGCTGCCGAGAAAGAGGGCAGCAGGGCTGCAGCTGTGGATGGACACAGTGGGCTGCTCCATGTCTCAGGGGCTAGAGGGCCTTTGACCCTCTTCCCTCACCCCATCTCCCCAGGAAGCTATTCCGGAGGCCCACGCCCCCCTCGATACTGGCTCAGCTGGAAAGGAACAGCCCCTCAGAGGCCACCACATCTGGCAGCCCCTGTGGTAAGAGCCAAGGCAGAGCCACTCTGAGCCTCCAGACCCCCTGGAGTCAGAAGTTCCCAGACTGAACAGAGGCCTTGGGGTCACAGACACCACCCAGCCTGGGTCTGTTGTCCTCCATCTCCGTCCTGTGTCTTGTGTTCAGGTGGCTTCTCGGAGACCTATGAGGCTCTGTGTGACTACAACGGCTTCCCCTTCCGAGAGGAGATTCAGTGGGTGAGGGTAGGGTCCTCTCTGGGAGCTCTGGAGAAATGATCCCCGCAGCTAAACCCCTCCCCAGCCCTCCTGATTCCAAGCTGGTTGGAGACACTTGCTTCCTGTCTAGGATGTGGACACCATCTACCATCGGCAGGGCTGCCGCCATTTCCGCCTAGAAGACTTCAGCCATCTCTGCAGTCGGTGCGTGACCTGCTGAGAGCGAGGAGAGGATAGGCCTAGGCCCCACACTCCTGGGCCTCCTTTTCTGTGGATACGGGGTGCTGGGCCTTGAATCTGGCCAGAGGATCCTGAGCTCTATCTGCACCCCTCTCCAGGGACCTGGCCTTGAGTGTGGCTGCCTTGTCCCACAACCTGTGGTTCCGGCGCCTGTCATGTGTGGACATGAAGCTGGTGAGGGTACATGGGCAGGGAGGGGCAGGGGCGCTGAGGCTGGGGTGCAGCATTTCTGAACCTTCTTCTGATCCCCAGAGCCTTGAAGTCCTGGAACAGATCCTGCATGTGATGAGTCAATCATCTCACCTGGAGGAGCTAGTGCTGGAGACCTGTGGCCTGAAGGGGTGAGGAGTGGGCGGAGAGAATGGGGCAGAGAGTGTGGTGACCTGGAGAGAGACAGGGGATTGCAGGGTGGGAGGGTCTCACACGTGGAGTCTGGTTCCCAGAGACTTTGTGCGCCGGCTGGCCCAGGCACTGGCAGGAAACTCCAATTCTGGACTGCTGGAGCTCAGCCTGGCTGGGAACCTGCTGGATGATCGAGGTATGGCTGAGGCTGGGGAGCCTGGGGCTGGCAGTCAGGGAGGGCGAGACCCACATGGCTGCCCCATTCCCTAGGCGTGGCTGCACTCTGCAAACACCTAGAACAGTGTCCCAGAGGCTTGAGGCGGCTCAGCCTAGCTCAGACAGGTCTGACACCTCGAGGTAAGCTCTGGGCAAGGCAGGGGTGGGCTAGGTGCAGAGTCCATCTGATGACTGAGCTCCTACCACAACCACCAGGGATGAGGGCTCTGGGTCAGGCTCTGGTCACCAATGTGGCTTTCAACTCGGCTCTTACCCACCTGGACCTTTCTGCAAACTCCGGAGCGCTGGGGCCCTCGGAAGACAATGGGGTGAGTGGCTCGCTTCCAGCGCAGAGATGAGGGGCATCAAGCAGTGGGGCATGAGGAAGCTTTGGATAGGACGAGCCTCACTCTCCCTCCCTTCAGAGCCTCCATAGCTTCCTGAGCCGTCCTAATGTCCTGACGTTCCTGAATGTCGCTGGCACAGACGCTGCCCTGGACCCTGTGAGGGGGTTGTCGGTGGGAGGGACGGAGGGTGGTCTGGGTGCAGGAGAGGCCTGGATACTGTAGACTGGAGTCGCTGAGTGGGGGGACCTGGCGAAGCTCAGGTCTGTGGTGCGCCCTCTGCCCTCAGCTCTTCACAGCACTGTCTGGTGGCTGCTGTGCCAGCCTCACCCACCTCGACGCTTCAAGGAACATCTTCGCCCGCATGTAAGAGGGTGTCCCTGGGCGGGGAGTGTAGGCAGTGGCTGCCTGGCGCGTGGAAGCCCACCTCTCCGCTCCCCCACCCAGGAAGGCCCGGGCAGCACCTGCCGCACTGCAGCTTTTCCTCAGCCGCGCAGGGGCACTGCGCCACCTGAGCCTGGCGGGCTGCCAGCTGCCGTCCGATGCGCTCAGGTCAGTGTCACCGCCCATTGCCCCCGTCCAGTCTATATGGCCACCACCCAGGCCCGGCCAGCCCTCCCGCATCTCCCTCTGCTCCCAGTGCACCCACAACCCTTCGTCCTCTCCTGCTCCCCCTCTTGGTGTTCGCTGGCCCCCTTAGGCTGAGGCTCCCCTTGCATAGGATCATGCCTGGCCTGTTCCCCATCTGTGACCTTTCATTCCAGGTCCTTGTTGAAAGGCCTTGCGTTCAACACAGCCCTGGGCGATCTTCACCTGGACCTCAGTGGTTGTGAGGTGAGCTTTCTGCCTGGCAACCCTGGCACGCGGTGAGCCCCCATGTACCAGCAGAGTTGGGATGTCACCCACCCCTCACCTTTCTGAGCTCCGCACCTCCACATGCAGCTGCGCTCTGCAGGCGCTCAGGTGATCCAGGACTTGGTGTGTGATGCGGGTGCTGTGAGCTCCCTGGATCTGGCGGATAATGGTGAGACCACCAAAAAGCCCCCCAGCTCCCCAGCTCCCTCCCTCCCACCCCACCTCCACTACCCTGCTCTTATGTGACATGAACCACCCTCAGGCTTCGGCTCAGACATGGTAACTCTGGTCCTGGCCATTGGAAGGAGCCGGTCCTTGCGGCATGTGGCACTTGGGAGGAACTTCAACGTCCGGTGCAAGTGAGCTCCCACCTCCACACCTACTCCTCCCAAGCAATACCCACCACTTGGTACCCCCCAACAGCAGCCCTTGCCCACAGGGAGACCTTGGACGATGCCCTGCACCGGATTGTCCAGCTTATGCAGGACGACGACTGTGTGAGTTCCCAGTACCTCGTGGGGAGTCCTCAGACAGTAAACACTTGTGGCCTCCTGACTCCTGCTTCCCACATCCTGTGACTTCTCCTTGCTGACCTCTCCAACTAACAATGGCTTTCTCTATGCCCAGCCCCTGCAGTCTCTGTCTGTAGCAGAGTCGCGACTGAAGCTAGGCGCCAGCGTCCTGCTCCGGGCCCTGGGCAGCAACCCTAGCCTGACAGCGCTGGATATCAGTGGCAATGCCATAGGGGACGCTGGAGCCAAGATACTGGCCAAAGCGCTGCGGGTCAACACGAAGCTCCGGTGGGCGGGGTCAAAGTGAAGGGGTGGGACCAATGGAGAGAAGGGTGTGGTATGAGGGGGGTGTGGTCAAATGGAGAGCAGCCAATGGATGGGTGAGGGGCGGAGTGAAAGCCTGGACTGGTGTGCGGGGCAGAATGGGGTTCCCTGCTGGCTGGTGAATGGGTAAAGGTGGGGGCCCGTGCGGCGCTCTGCCTCCAACTGAAGCTGGACCGCGCCCAGGTCTGTGGTCTGGGACAGGAACCACACATCTGCGCTCGGCCTGCTGGACGTGGCGCAGGCCCTGGAGCAGAATCGCAGCCTGAAGGCCATGCCCCTGCCACTGCACGATGTAGCCCAGGCGCAGCGCAGCCGCCCCGAGCTGACCGCACGTGCGGTGCACCAGGTGGGCGTTCCCTTTCCTCCTCGCCCCGCCTCTGCGCTATGGTCCCGCCCCCAGCCCGCCTCAAGGTCCCCGGTCCGCAGATCCAGGCCTGTCTGTGGAGGAACAACCGCGCAGACCTCGCGTCCTCCGACCGCGCCTCGCGTCTGCAGCTGCTGGGTCTGGTCTCAACTCCCTCGGAGCAGGTCAGTGTCCCCTCCTCCAACCCTGAGAACGCACAGGGGTATGAGGGAAAGAGTCTCTGCGAACCTGAAAGTCTCCGTTTTCCTGGGTCCTGTGTAAATCCCTCTCCTTGATCTGGAGCTGGACCAGTGAGTGATTCCTCAGGTAGCATCTGGATAACAGTTCTTGCTGCCTTAAAGTATTTCAATAGGTTCTTCTGTTAAAAAGACAAACAAAAAGCTAAACTATTTGCAGTCCAGTCAATTCCGACGCAGAACGGATTTCTGACTCCACAGGGTAGAGTAGCAGTAACTGCCCAGTAGAATTTCCACAATTATAAATATAAAGCGGATCACTAAATCTGCCCACAGAGCAGCTGGTGGGTTTGAACAGCTGACCTTCCACTTCGAGCTGATTGTTTTACCCCTGTACCACTAGGGCTTTTGGTTACAGACAAGGTATATTTAAAAGCTTCCCTCAATGTTCCTGTCTCATTGCAGCACTGTTTCTGACTTTCCATACACAGGGTCTCCCTTCCTCCCCGCTGACCCCTGTGGCCCAGCAGCCCTTTGTCTTGTTTCATCCCCTCCACTACCCTGCCTTTCTGCACTGCTCTCCCTTCTCAATTCTCAAATCCTACTTCTCTCTAAACTCCTGGGTCCAGATATCCAGCGAGCCTGTTATGTGCCATCAAGTCGGAACCAACACACAGCTGACCCTTTAGCAGGTTTGCAGAGGTAGTAAGTTGCTCATGTCCTTCTGTCTGTCCTTCTGTGGAGCAGCTGATGTATTCAAACTGTGTGCCTTTGGGATTGCAGCACAGCTTTTAGACCACCAGACTTCCAGTCCAGACATCCCGTAGGAACCTCATGTTCAGACTTCCAGTCCAGGGACACCTTAGGGGCCTCATATTCTATACGTCTCCCACAAACCTTTCTACCAGGAGGTGGAACAGGGCTGTGGACACCCATCCAGCTGTCTCCTAAGCACACCAGAGCTCTCACAGTCCTCTCTGGTGCTGCCTTCTGACTAGCCTTCAAGTCAGCCTTCCTCCCCTTCAATCATGCCTGCGCCCCTGGTCCCTCCTCTTTAGACACCTCACTTTCATATCTGCCCAACCTTCAGACAATTCTCTATGTGGCTTCTAAAACAGAGTGGACTGACGGCTCTTATTCTTCCCATTCTGGACGCTTCTCCATTCCGTGGGAAGTGTATATAAAATCTCTAAAATAAAACAAAGGAAGGGATCCTGCTCCCCCTCCTGCAGCTGGTACATTCTCTAAGCGGTGAACATGATAATGTCACCTTTACAACATACCTTTCTCTCTTTCCAAGACTCTTGAAGGGAGGCAGAATCTGGGGGGTTCAAAGGGCATTAGGCTGAACCTGATCCCTATTGTCCCTCCAACCTCCAGGAAGTGAATGAGCTGTGTCAGTCGATGCAAGAGCATGTGGAGCTGCTGGGCTGTGGGGCAGGACCCCAGGGTGAAGCTGCTGTGCGCCAGGCCGAGGATGCCATCCGCAACGCCAACTTCTCTCTCAGCGTGAGCCTTTCCCCCACAAGAGGACCCTCCTCCTCTTGGTCAGGCTTCACTCTTCTTTTTCTCCTTGGCCTCCAGGTTCTCCCTATTCTGTATGAAGCTGGGAGCTCCCCAAGTCATCACTGGCAGCTGCAGCAGAAACTGGAGGTCCTTCTGGGACAAGTGGGTGAGGTCTGCCGCCAGGACATCCAGGTGAGATGGCACATCTCCCGAAGTCCTCCCACGTGTGGGTCTCAACCCTCATCCTGCAGGCTTGGCTGTGATGTTTCCAGAGTCAATGTCCTGTGGGGGTTCGAGCAAAACAAGTTGCCTAGGCCTTGGTCACACCTTTACCATGCTCTAACCCTTGCCTAGGACTTTACTCAGGCCACGCTGGACACAATGAGGAACCTCTGCCCACAGATGCTCCAGGGACCTGGCTGGGGGGAGCAGCTAGAGAGGGTCTTGGCAGGTTCACAGGGCCTCCCAGAGCTGCTCCCAGACCAGCTTCTGCAAGATGCCTTCAGTAGGCTCAGGTAGGCTGCATGGGGCTCTCCTGATTATCACTGGGGCAGGGCCAATGCACTAACCTCTGACCTTTGCTGCCTTCAGAGACATGCGGCTATCAGTCACAGGGACCTTGGCAGAGAGCATTGTGGCTCAGGCTGTAGTGGGTCTGAGTGCAGCCCGAGATCGGCTGGTGAGAGGGAGCTGTGCACTGGAGGGGATCTGTAATGTCTCTGGATGGTCTGGGGTGCTTTAGGAGTCCCATAGCATAGATGGGAGCATGGCTGAGGCCCCATCTACCCATCTCTGGGGTGCCTGGTATTGCAGGTAGAGAGTCTGGCTCAGCAGGCCACAGTGACAATGCCCTCCACCTTATCAGCACTGGATGGAAGTGAGCCCAGCCCCCTGGAGCCTGGGGAACTAGAAGGTCTTTTCTTCCCTGAGAACAAGGAGAAAGAGGTAGGTGCTCCAACTCTCTGGCCTAGAACCCGAACTGTCACGTGGCTCTGGAAGGTGGGGAGGTAGCACTTCTGGCATTACGCTCTCCCACCTCCAGGCTGAGTCTGCCCACCAGGATGGCAGTGTCCCATGGAAATGGCCTGAGACTAGCCATTGTCTTCACCTGGTTCCTGCCACTCACAGTAAGTCAGAGCCAGGGGGGAAAGGTGGAAGTTACCGAGGTTGGCAAAACTCCTGTGGCCCTAGGGACCAGAACACCTCAACATATTCCTTCAACCCTGTCGTGGGCATTTCCCAACCCTTGAGTGGGTCAGGCCAGGCACCCTGTGAAGTTGCAAGGTTGAGGTCTGTGGTCAGCTTGGAGCTGGACCTGCCAGATGAGGGGCGGAGACATTGCTTCCACCCCCTTCCGCCCTCCCCCTCCCTCCGCCTCCTCTATCCTCCTCCTCCATCCCTCCCCCCACCACGGGTCGCGCATGCTTGCGGGCGGTGCGGG